AAAAGTAAAGTAAAAGTAAAGTAAAAGTAAAGTAAAAGTAAAGTAAAAGTAAAGTAAAAGTAAAGTAAAAGTAAAGTAAAAGTAAAGTAAAAGTAAAGTAAAGTTAAAAATAAAGTAAGGAAAAATGAGGACCCAGAGGGTTTGGGGGCAGAGGCTGACTCTGTAAACTGCTTAGGGAGGGCTGGAAGGCTCTGTGAAGCAGCCCATAAGTCTATTGTACATAAGCACTATTAATAATAGACATATATAGTACATATCAGTCTATTGCATACAAGTACTATTGCTATGAGATCAGGTCTGGGGCTGCTGGTGAAGCCATTTCTACAGAAACACCAGGTGCGAAGAGGGAAACGAGAAGGGATGATCACCTGGAATAAGACCAGTAGCTCGTAGATGGATGGGAAGAACGGCCGGAAGACCAGGGAAGGAACCACAAGAGCCCCAAACCCCTCCGTGGCTAATGGGACACCTGGTCCTTCTGGCTGTGGCTCACTTACCTGCCCTGGGAGGCCTCCTCCTTGGAGGTACCACGATGCGGAGCAGGCGGGCGGCTGGTTGTCAGGACACTGGGCTTCTCCTGGTCCTCTAAGATCTTCCCAACAGGACAGGTGGGACCTTCCCCCAAGGAATGTTTGCGCCCAACGGATCTGGGGGGGGGGGGAAGGTGGAGAAAAATTGGATGGGAGAGCCAGGTTGCCCCCTGCTACTACCTTTGAAAAACTATTTATGGGATGCATTTTCAATTTTGCAAGCTGTTGCACTGCTCCCTCCTCCCTATCTGTTGGCAACCCTTAAAAAGACCATGGAAATATTGTATGAGTTTTGACTGATGTGAGAGGAACCGAAGAGCTTTGAGATATTGTTAGACAGGCAGGTGTGTGTGTGTAGGGGGGGAAAGTCTGGCCCCAAACCATGATTTGCCGTGACACACACGTAGAAGGGAATGGTGGTGAGCTATAGACCTCCTTTCCCAACCGGTTTTCCTCACCAAAACTCTTTTAACAAAAATAAAACCCACCTCCACGTGTTCTTAAAGAAACTCTGGCCTGGGTCCATTTCGGCAGGGGGATCAGCGGTGGGATTAAGATGTGGTCCACACATCTTAAAGTTCCTCGAGTTGAGAAACCACATTTGATGTCTCATAATGGTCACTCTTTGGAGAGTGACCTGTCAGGGCTCTAACAAATCCCCACCTTCAAATCCTAAGTCTGTAGCCGCGGTAAAAAAATATGATTTATTCGGAGTGACCATGTTGGAGTTAACTGGGTGCAGCCAACACTAAAACACATCATTCATTTCCCCCTTGACCCTGGTCTTCCTCCCACCCCCTGGATGTATATTCTCCAATGGGACACATCCATAGCCAAGAGTCATCCATCATGTCCTCCTCCAGTAATACTCTTGCGCTCCAACCACTTTGGGCTGCCAAGGCGATTATCTAAGGCATTTGAGGAATGCACTGTTTTCCCGCACTTCCTTCCTGCTGGCAGAAAGACCAAAGGAGTGTTGTTTTTTTAGCTGACATGACCATCATGAGACATCAAATGAACCTCTTCGCGCTCTTCCACTGATTGGTGGTCATCTGAACTTTTTAACACACGTCAGATGGGTCCCCGTGGTTTCTCAGAAAGCCCTCCAAAGTTCTCCCAAGCATCAGACATTTCTTTGCAGAGTGGGAATTACGACCTCTTTGCTTGGCCGCACCTTTACTTACTTTCTTCAAAGTGGTCCAAATCTGGACAGACACTCCAGACATGGACAGGAGGTGTCCTTTGTTGAGATAAGCAGAACCCACAACACGCGTGTTTGCCTTCCTCAGTAAACTAGGAAGAAGTCCAGCGTGGGTTTCTTCCTAGTGTTGCCTCTGTTTCCCAGCCTTAAAACACGTTATTGGGTTTGAAAGCATCTCAGCCTAGTTGTCAACTCATAAAACATCCCTACGCCTGTTTTAGTAGTTGCCATTAAAAATGGGGTGGTGGTGGAAGGAAATCTGGAAGAGCAGTTGAACGCAAAAGTACGTTCCAACTCCACCCCACCCCCTGGATGTATATTCTCCAATGGGACACATCCATAGCCAAGACCGTTAAGATGTGGGTGGCTTGGTGGGCGCACTTTTACACAGGCACAGAGGCGTCCCGACTCACCTCTCCCGGTCGCTTCAGCAGCTGCCGCGCACGGCACTCCGGCTGTGCCGCGCAAAGCAGCTGCGCTTCAAAAGCAGAGGATAAAGGTGAGTCTAGGAGCCCAGGTGGGCAGGTGGGCCCAACAGCAGAGTGCAGAGAGAACCAATTTGGTATCCGCTGCTCACCACCGCTACCGGCTCGGCTGAACCAGGCCAAAGCAGTAGAATACAGACACTGACTGGGATCCTACCTGTTCCGCTACCGGTTTGGTGATCGCGCATGTGTGCACATGCACCTAATGCACGCAGACAACTCTCCCCACACCAGCTGAGGCTTTTGCACAGGGGTCGGTGGGAGGGTCTATAGCCGTGATGGCAAACCTATGGCACGCAAGCCACAGGTGGCACGCAGAGCCATTTGTGCCCGCACACGAGCTGCAGGCAAACTTACCTCACTGGGGAGGTGTGTGCTTCACAGCTGATTTTCGGTGGGTTTGAGGCCTTTTTTGGCCTCCCAAAGGCTTGAGGAAGGCTTCTGCAGGCTTTGCAGGCCGAAAACTAGACCCGTTTCGTCACTTCCTGTTTTGCCGAAAATACCCGAAGTGACGAAACAGGCCTAGTTTTTGGCCTGCAAAGCCTGCAGAAGCCTCCCTCAAGCCTCTGGGAGGCCGAGAAAGGCCTCAAAGCTGCCGAAAATCAGCTGTGAGGCGCAGTGCAGGTAAGGGGGCGCAGGGAATGGGTGGGTGGGGATTGTGCATGCATGTGCAGGAGGCACGAGGAGCGCGCGCACACTGCCTTCTGGGTGCCGGCACGCGAGCACGAGCATACAAGCGCGCGCACAATTTTTGGCACAGGAGCCCAAAAGGTTTAGCCACCACTGATCTATAGGCTTTTCCCCCTTCTCTCAGCTGATCGTGGGAGGCTTTCCTTTTGTTTTTCTTTTACTACCGGTTCAGGGAAACCAGTCCGAACCAGTAGCATACTGGTCCATTTCCCCCCAAATCCCCAGTTTCCTCCCAAATCCCCAGGTTCCCCCATTTACTTGCTGTGCTCCAGGTTGGTCCGTGATGCCGGATGAGGCAGCTTCCCCTTAGCAGCTCCGCTCTCATCTTTGTCGACGCTGATCCATTCTGAAGAGGAGGAGGAGGAGGGGGGGGTACAATTTCAGGGTGGGATGGGTGTGTGTGTGTGTGTGAAAGGGTGACAGACACGCCCCCCCCCCCTGCAAGCACCGCTGGTGGCCCAGATGGCACCCCGGGGGCTTCTGTCTTCGCCTCCCAATCGTGCGAACAAGCAACTGTCTTAGGAACCGACAGGTGTGTGTGCTTTGAGAAGCTCCGGATTCAGATCCAGTCGACCGACTTAGACAACAAGGAACAACCAAGAAGCCCCTCACCCATATTGGCAGGGCAAGCCGCTCATAGATAACTGGAGAGCATCCTATCAGTGCTAGAAGGGAGGCGGCTTGGACCTCATTTAATACACAAGTGCCTTTCCCTGTCAGTCTTGGTGGTTCCTCCCTTAGGCTGTTTTTTTTGTACTGTTTGATTGTTGGTCTCAGTTGGTACTTCCTGGATCGGGGTAGCAATGACAGGGCACGCTATTTCTTTCTAAACACAGAGCAAACCCCGCTCCCTTCTAGCACTGATGTTGTTCCCTAGTTGGGTCATGAAACGTCTGCAAGGAAACCACCCAGCTC